GGGAACAGGTTTACTGACCTGATGGAGCCTGGTGGAACCACTGAGACTATGGCCCCTAGCTGCCCTTCAGGTCTGGAATTGAACACAGACCTGTAGCTTCCAGCCAAGCAGTAGACAGGCATACTAGTTGAGCATTTATCTGAAGTAGATAAACTCCTTGGAGAGAACAAGCAAGAGAGAAAGAAGGGCTGCTCAGGCACAGGAAGACAGCTCAGGGGGCAGGAGTGCATGGAGGGATGGTCACAGGGAAGCGGTACCTATCGGGAGGAAGTGGGAGAGGAGATGTTGCATTGTGCTAAATTGTGGTCAATGTCATGAGACAAAGTGTATGTGATCTGCTGCATGGAAAGTGTATTTGCTCTATAAATTTTTACCCAAATCACAATAAAAATAAAAATTAAAAAAAAAAAAATACATGAATATGGCCAGTTGCTAACCAAAGTATATACTAGACTATATATAACTCAGCATACAGAGTCAAATCAATTGAGACTCTGAACCAATTTTATTCTATTTTGTTGACTTTACACCAACAATAATATAAATTTGCTGTTTCATTTTGTCTCTCCAGGCATAGCTGCTCAGTGGCACAGTTCAATTTGGTGGTTTTAGTCTCAGGGCTCCTGAAACCCCAATAGTGGGTGGAGCTTAGCATATCCAGCAAGTAAGGTTCAGGAGATTGGCTATATCTTCAGCTGAAGGAATCACCTTCACCCATGAATCCAGAAGATTTGTGTGGGATTTTCTCAGGGCCAGAAGAAGTGGCTCCTAAGGAGCCAATCTGGTAACTGGACAAACCATGAAAAGACAAACAATGATTGAAATGATTGAAGAAACCCGATACTGTTCATCCTGTAGATTCAGAGTATTGATATGGCTTGCCAGAATTATAGAACCCTTAGAAGGAGGCGTCTGTAAAAACTGCCTGTACAGTGAAGATAAATGTCCTCTTTCTGTGATGTCTACAGAGCATGAGCCAAGCACATAATCATCTTGCTTGTCTGGAGGTAGACTCCCTCCCTTCTCACTTGGGAGGGTTTATTAGGCAGTGGTTACAATTGTGGGCTTTGCATTCAGGAAAATCTGGATTTAAATTGTAGCTCTACCATGTATCAGTAGCGTAGCCTAGTTTTAGTTGTTTAATCTCCTTAATTCTCTTTCTTGATCTGAAAATTGAGGATGATCTTATCTGTTGCATAGGGCAGTGAACATGAAATGAAATAGTATCCATACAGCTTTCAGTATGAAGCTTGGTATGGAATAAATTTGAATATATGGCAGCCATTATTAAGACACAATTAAGAATCTGAAAGTAAGTCTATGCACCCCCAAATCTCTGGGAGACTGAAGAAATGTCACATCATTCATGCATTTTACTCACTAGAGACTCTAGCACTCACCCAGAGTCCTTTTATTGCTATTCAAGGGTTACGAGTCCAGAACAGGACAAAATGAGTAGATTATAATGATATAAGATGCAAGGTGAAGTGGGTGCCCTATGGCGAGAAGTGAGGGCTCATACCTCAACAATAAGGGATAAAGTAGAAAAAGAATAAAAAGTGAAAAACACAATGGACACAGTCATAAAAGTCTGGGCTTAGTGCAAAGGATCTCAACGAGTTCTCTGTTCATGACTAACCTAAGAGTTAAAAGAAATGTTCTATTATGTCTCAGGTCCGAAGGGATATTATTTGCCTGAGTTTACTGAATTTGTGAGTGGAAAACCCAGGTTTACTGACACCTAGTTTAGCATTCGTTCTAGGATAATATGCTACTTTCTCACTATGCTATGCCAGCATAAATCACCATAATATAAATATAACACATAATGCAGATAATATGCAGATGCAAACATTAACATACAAAAATACTTAATTCTCCCAAAACATTATGGAAAATCTCAACTTACAATATTCATGAATGCTTCTGGGTCCACAGCTTTTGTTGGCATATGTCCTGAATTCACATTTCTTTGTAACAAATACGCCACCAGAATCAGAAGCCACATCTCCGTTCTGTGTGAAACAATCCATTCTCTTGAAAAGATTTCTGACATGGTTCAATATCAGCATTTATTTTTTTCCTTGGCAATATTATTGCTAATTCTAAAGTAAGAAGAAGGATCTGTACATTTAAAAAACTCTTTCATACATTTTCTACCTGTAATTCCTTCTATAAATTATGAAGTAAATTAAGCAGTCTTGGTTGATGGGAATGGAGGAGCACAAAGTAGGCTGGGGACATTATTTAGGGTGTCCCAATAACATCTGGCTCCTCCTGCTCCTCCTTCCTACAACATGATGTCACCAATCCTTCAACGTTTAGGTGTGTAGAAATTTTTTTGATGCAATCTGGAGTTATGGCCATGCAATACACCCCATAACCTTATGTTCCTCATCACCATATAATCAGGACTAAGGTGGCATCCTTTTGTCTGTTTAACTTTTTATCTTTCTTTGATGGATACTAAGACATAGAGTCTGCAGAAAATATTACAAGTTTCTATAGTGAAGATCAATGTAGTGACAAGAACTTTTATTTAAAACACCAATAATTTTAAGGGCATTTTCTATTTTTAGTGATGAATAAGAATATTAATTAGAAAATTAATCAGAAGAAAATGGATCTGTATGATTAACACCATTTCTATCTAGTTCAACTAAATAGACACATACAGAAAGTTTTATTTTGGGTTACAATCACTAGTTAATTGCTGAGAGATTGATTAGGTAGATATCTGGTAATTAAATCATCTGCAAATCTAAAATAATGAGTTGCTGCCTCGTTATTTGCAGAAGCAAACACCCAAGTTCGCTTACTGTATAGAGCTGTGAGTAATTCATAAGTCTAGTAATAATTAGACTCGACCTCACGTATCAACAAACAACAACAGTAATAATTGAACAGGCCATTCAAGATGGTAGACTCATTTCCCTTTCAAGTAAAGAATGTGTTCGAATTTGCGAATACGTATATTTAAAGTGAGATGTGTCTCTACTGTTTGCTCAGCTCTTCAGAACTGAGTAAAAGCGGCCATCCATGCCAACCTGCAGACTTGAACATGGAGGGTAAAAGAGTAGAAGCTAAAACTGGAATGATGAGTCTTCTGGGAAAGTCCCTGCCTGCCTGACTCCACCTCATGCAATCTGGGCTAGCAGGACAGGTGTGGTGAGCTAACCCTGAGATTCTTGTCGGGACTCATCAGAAAGTTCCCGCCATTGCTGGTTCGATGCATACCCAAGAGGACCGATTTGACCTAATTAGAATTGAGGTGAAACTTGCCAAATACTCTGCAGAGACCCTTGTGGTTTGTCCCCACAGAGCTCACTCTCAAGTTAGAAAAAAAAAATTTAGAAAAGAACTTTGGCTCCCACTGTTGACATTACAGGATTTCAAAATGTTATAGCTGGAAGGCTGTAGTCATTCAGCACTTTCTTTCATTTTTGTAAATGTGAAATATGTTATATGACTTGATCAGTATTGCCTAGCTGTGTTGTGGCAATGCTAGAACTAAAATTCAGATATTTTATTTCACTGTTTGATGTTATCACTACATGGGAAAAAACGAACATTCCAATGCGCTCTTCCCCATGCACGGATGAAGTCTCACCTACATCAGAAAACAATGATATCAATCTCTGGGAATTGTCTTTCTTAAAGTTCTCTCCTGGATTTAAAATTCAGAATAATTCTTAATTATGTCATTATAAATGTGGGGGCTACAATCTACTCACATTTGCATTCATATGTTCAAATAAGATCTCAATTTTCACATTGGATTATATTGTGAATATTATACAAACTTATTAATGAGACAGTAATGGCAATAAACTGACCAGTTTAGAAAGAGCCTTATGTTTTTGCAGTGTCAGATTACCAATAAGCAAGGTAACCTTGGGATAACTTGTGTTTACTTACTAATCTGTAGTGAACAATTTCATATTTTTTTCACTACAGCAAAAAATCTGCTTCTAAGTAAGGTTGGCATCTGTTTTCTCTCCCAACCCCACAGAACAATCCTACAGAATCAAAGCATCTTTTCAAATTTACAATCCCTGACAGGAACAGAGTTCCCATAAGCCAGGTATGTAGGGTTTATTTGTGCTTACTTAATAATCTGTAGAAAATAGTTTTACATGTTTTTTGATTAGTAAGTAAGCAAAAATAAGACTGTGCTTACCTTGCTTATTGGCTAATCCCCCTCTGTGTCTTTGGTGGTCGAGTGACTTTCCCTCTTTGTTCAGCCTTTAACCTCTGTGACCTCCTTGGTTAAAAAGTGTAGTGTAGAGGAGACTACACTAAACAACAACAACAACAACAAACACCTTCTTTGCCTCTCAGATTCTTAAGGAACGTTATGAGCTCACAACTGGCATTTTGGAAGCAGGCAAAGTGAAAGTGACATCCCAAGTTCACCTCAAACAGCTATAGTTTCAACCAATGTTAAGTAAATACAGCTCTTATTTACTGCAGAAATTAATAGTGCCCTTATCACCTTAGCAACCCACAGTCTAAAATATCAGAGGTCTTACCAAGACAGATAAAATGCAAAAACACAACCACTGCTGTGGAGTCTATCAGACTCATAGCGACCCGAGGCTGTATCACTACAGAAGTAGATTGCCCAACCTTCCTTCTGAAGAGTGGCTGGGGGGTTTGAACCACTAGGCTCTGGTTAGCAGTCAACTGCCTTAGGCACTATGCCATGTCAATATGACCTTCATCTTGGAGTTGTTTATCATGAGAGATTTATCTTTAGAGGGTTCTGTCAAGAAACTTAAAAAAAGGTGGGTGCTTTTAAAACACATCTCAATATTTAAAACACTCAAATACTTACAGTTTTTTACTTAAAAACTGTAAAAATGGAAACAGCTAAAAAGAAGTGAACATGACAAAACAAAAGCAGTAAAAGAAGAATTTGAAAGAAAACAAACTGCAAAAGTGAAAACATTACATAACCTGGAGGAAAGGAGGAAGAAAGAGATGTTTCTCAAGATCGGCTTCAGAAACTTACACCCGTTATGCCCTGTAAAGCTCACCTCAAAATTGCTTAGTGAATTTCTATTACTTTTTCTTTGAATCATGACCTGCAGAAAAAATAAACACCGCATAACACGGATGAACTTGGAGGACATTATGCTGAGTGAAGCAAGGCAACCACGGAAGGACAAATATAGTATTAGTTCGTTACTGTAAAAAGTCAGGAAGCAGTTCCGGCAAGATGGCGGACTAGACAGAAAGACTGCACAGACCCTCTTCAACAAAGAAAAGGTAAACCAATTAACACAGACACAGAAGATAATCTTGGACCCCTGAGCCTTGAAGGGAAGGATATAGAAATGGACTAAACCCCA